ACTAGTATGTTGGTTATTATACATTTAAATCAAATTCCAAATTGACAGATGATGGAAAAATATTTTAATTGAACTGTTTTCTTTCTGATGAATAAATCTGCCAGTTCTTGAAGATGTAATTTAATATTTGATTTTACTTATTTTAGGTTATTTTCAACTGCAATTAGTTATACTAAAAATAGCTTCAAGACTGGTTGGTTAATTTAATCAATACTGATTTCTGTCATAACACACAGAGTTAAGAAACTAGAACTGAGGAAATGAAAGGGTTGTTTTACAGTGTCTTCTGCTAAATTAGATCCAAGAACTCAGATTTCCTAGAAACAGTTAATAGCTGTCCCTTTTACAATATATTGCTTTTGATAGTCAGAGAAATGGTTTCGCACATGCAAATCATATTCATGTGTCTGTGAGAGATTCTCTTTTGTTAGCATGATTTTATGTTTTATGGAAATTCTTCTTTCCTTTAAAAAGTCCTTTGTTTTTTTTCCCCCCCACGGGCACAACAACAGTCTGGTAGAAGCAGGAATTCAGCACAGAGGTCTTTGTATGGCTTTAAAATAAAGAAATCCTAAGGAATACAGAGCTGTATTTGCTTTTGGGTTTTGAACTGTGAAACTGTTGGAACTTACTCAAATGATGTTTTTACGCTTTTCCCATGTCAATTATTAAAGAACTTTCTGTGAAACTGATATTTCCCTTGAAGTCCTCTATTCAAGACCGAGATGATGTGGATGATCCCTGAAAATAATGAAAAATGCAATAAATCAAGAAGAGGTGTTTTTTTTGGCTTTTTTAACTTAGAAGATGTAAGCATTCATGTGATAAACTTCACCATAACGATGCAATGGGATTTCAAGTTAGCCTTTAAATTAATTTAAAAAATGAGTTGGAAACATACTTTTCCTTAGTTATTAGAGCTATGATAGTTTGTTTCTCTTTGTTTCTGATTAAGTAGGATTTTAAAGAAGAAAGGAGGCGGCTTTTCTTACATTTTTATATAAAAATTAATGTTACTTTGTTTCTGTGTCTAGGAGGAAAAGAAGAAGTTTGATAAAGAGACAGAGAAGAACTACAGTTTGTTAGAAAAGCATTTGAATTTATCAGCTAAGAAGAAAGAGCTACAATTACAAGAGGTATTGTTGCCTCTCTTTTTTTTATGCAAGCTACAGGCTTTTCAATAGGTAAATATATTTTATGCAAATGCAAAACCAGCATTCATAGTGTTAAAAGGAAAATTTCTGTCAACTGGAAAGTTTGGTGAGAAAATCAATATTTGCTGAACTTAGTGGTGTACCCCTACCATTTTCTGAATGAGGGCTTTACCTGACGTGTGTGAGGTACTGAACATCACACTAAATTTTTATATAGTTAAGGGAATAGAAAAGTGCAAGTATATTGTGAAAAACTCTGCATTTCTTGTGAGACTTTACTATATATGTAATTTGCATTGCATTGTATATATTAACGAAATGTCCTGTGTTAATGCTTAATGCAAAGTACAGCAAGACTTACATTCCTGAAAGAAGTGTTTTTGTGCTTTTTTTTTCCCCCTTCTCATGTTTTGAAGATCTATTTTTTTCAAGTAATGCTACAAAAAAGTTTGTTGACAATTTATAACTTAGAAACAGATCTGTTTTGCCTGGCATTCCTTCTGTCCCTGTGGGTTTATTATCATCATCCTTATTTGTAATAGCTTTTATTTCTGGAGCCACAGCAAATAGTACGTGAGAAGATAGCAGAGACATCTTGCAGAGACTTGCTGTAGGCAGAAGAATTTTTTTTTTCAGAGAACTGTAATTGTGTCAGAATTATTAATGCTTAGTCTATGAATGCCTTGTATCATTAAACACTTCATGTTTTCCTCAGAGATAACTCTTCTCCCTGCTCTTTACTCCACCCCAAATAGTCTATGCTGTCTTTCATAAAAAATGGTTAATGTAACTGGCAAGTTAGCTGTGAACTTGAGAACTCGGATTGTTCTCAAATTTCACTAGGATGTTACTTCTCCATACTGTATTTGCAACATAGGCCCTCATATGCATAAACAAGCGTCTTTTGGGGAGTTGAGTTGTCCCAGTGAAGGTAATAGGCATTGCTTGTGTGTCAGGACCTGTACTTCTATCAAAGTGATCAGCTGCTGAAGAACTTGATGCAGAAAAAATGAAAAAGTATTAATTATGATCTCTTACGTGATGATACTGAGAACCATATTTCAAAGGCTGAAATGAGACCTAACCTCAATGGAAAAATACAAAATGCCTGCAAGAGGCATTTTGAAGCTGTATCAAATATAGCCTGAAGTTTTAAAGCATGTGTGAAGACTAGAATAAGCAAATAGATTTGCTTTAAATGTCCTTCAAAGTTTCATGAACAAAAATTCTGAAATTCTTCAGTCAAGCTCTTTCATTTGTGCATTTAATTTTGGAGTATAAATGATAAGCAATTAAAAAAAAACACAAAAGGACTTGTAGCATGTTGTCAGAGTGCTAAACAGGAAAAACTTTCTTGCACAAGCTTAAAAAATAGATGTATATAATTGCACGGGAGCTTCCTAATTTAGCATTATACATGGCTAGTTGTGTCAGTTCCTGGCTGGAGTAAATAAAGGATGCAGGTATAAATTTGACAAAAATTTGATGAAAGACATGCCATGTTGTAGAGTGTGTCTTACATTAATATAGCCTTTGATTCTCTTAGTGGAGGGATATTCCTGAAATTTCACTGAGGCATGGTGTGTGTCTTATTTCTGTATTTCTTCAGCAGTACACAAAGTACAAAGCAACAGTGAGCGAACTTGCTGGGTACACGGGGAGACTCATGTCTCAAAAAACTGAGGAGAGATGTAATTTATTTACAGGGGAATTGAGAGGAATTAATAAAATGGCTGTGTTGGGTATTGTATTCTTGGGGGAGGGAGCAGGAAACAACCAAAACAATAAAAAACTGAAAAACAAAGAAGAGAGAGAGAAACAGGCTTACGTGGGGCTTTGGTGTATATAGGGCAGTCTTACTATCGATTAGCCAGATGTCCTAGTAGACCCACTTCATAGTCTTTTTCTATGGCTACCCTTCAGTACACGTATATATCATTAGAAGCTTTGCTGACAACTCAAACAATTCCTATGTTGCATGGTTTATAGGATGCATTGAAATGGCTTGGCTTTTTGAAACGTGTTTTCTTACTGATGTGCGTATCAGTGCTTTATTTTTTTAATGGCATTTTTTGTTATACCCCTTTAGCTGCTGACAGATTTCTAGCACAGAGCAGCAAAGCAAAGCACATCTTAAGGCAAAGCTGTCTTAAAGCTAATTTGACTTACCCTCTTAAAGCATAGCAGTTACTGTTCTGCCTGAAGGATATAGTCTCTGTATTTAAGAGGGAGTGTATGATAGTAAGTCTGGTCCTTTCACCTAACCCTTTCTCCATTCCCTTTTGTAATTTAGTGTAGAAGCGTTTGGTATTATCACATGAGCAAAGACTAAGTGTTAATCACTTAGAGTATCCCTTTGTAGCCTTTCTTTAATGTATTTTAATAAAGGTTTCCGTTACCCAGTTCTTGAAGTTTTATAGTTTAATGAGGGCACATGTACCTTAAATAGTAACTTAATGAAATAATACATATATGCTAGAAAGTTGAATATTTATGTACAAATGAATGGCATCTAAAATATAACTGTTCACCATCAATATGGTGTTGGCATTCCAGTAAAGCTAAGCTAAAAATCAGCTGCGGCTAATAAGGCTGCATTTTTAAATATTTGATGGTCTGTGGAAACTTGTGAAGTGTCTTACCAGTAAGTGAACTTTTTAAAATGGCTTTTCTTGCCAGTCAGAGTGGGCACAGGCGTGGGATGGGTACAATAGCATTCTGGCTATTTACATCAGCTATTTGGGTTATAGAGTAAAGCTTGCAGTACCAGCAATGTGGTTTTCAAAAATAGCGGGTTTTTTCCTTAGTTTATCTGGAGAGATGATTTCCCCCTTTTCTAATGGAAGACACTGCTCGCCTCCTCTCTGTGTTTGGGCAGGCACCTTTTCAATACTATTAAAGCAGTGCACAAGTACTTGCTCTGATGTATTTGGCTTGGATTCCATAGAAAAGAAGCTTGAAGAGGTGTTACTGAAATGTTTCTAAAAATTTAGCCTCATGATTCAAAACAACATACGTTATCTAGTAAAAGGGAATTTCTGCTGCCATTTAAAAGTAAATGAATGAGCTGTGTTGTAAAGGAACAAATCCCAGTCTGGAGAAAATTATCTTATCGCTTGCCACTTGTATGCTATGTTTCAAATGTCTTTGAAACTTCATTAGCTGTATTCTGTGTGCAGGCAGATAACCAAGTGGAGCAGAACAGAAAACACTTCTATGAGCTGTCCCTCGAGTACGTATGCAAGTTGCAAGAGATACAGGAGCGGAAGAAATTTGAGTGTGTGGAGCCTGTAAGTACCAGTGAATTCAGCCTACCCTGTCATTCATAAGGGACACAGAAGGAATGCAATTGGGCAAAAGTCAAGGAGCTCTGTTTTCTCGGAAAATGTATGCAATTGTGTGACTTAACAATTTCAAGCACTCTTGTTACATCTCTGCAAATTCCTAGTACAGATACACTTAACCAGGCATCTCAAAGCTTACCTTGGTAATTAAGTTGATTTGGATCCATTGATGTTGATTTTCAGAAAATGTGTGAAACCTTGTGCTGTATTGCAAAAGCCTCGATTTGTGGTGTGAGTTAGAATACAGGATTCAGGAAGACGATGTTGGGGTCAGACTTTTTGCATTTGTTTTTTTTAACCACTGAAATGTTATTCCTCACTAATGTAAGGAATTTCATTTTCAATATGAAGGTTGCACTTAGAGGCCTGTTAGTGAAGAAGTGCAGATATAAATTAATTAAGAGGGTGCTGCTGGCTAAAAAGCTCCTTATCAGGTACTCTGATATGTTTGATTTCAATTGCAGTTGAATCTGTGCAGAAATCAAGGGGTTCCACTGAATTTCAGTGAAAATCATACATGTACTGACCAGACTTACTTAAATCTCTGAGAAGAGCTTATTCTAAAATTTTCTGAAATGTGCATTAGCTTCGTAGTATAAATGCAACTTTATGAAACAACAAGAGAACAGTAAGTGTAATACTGAGATAAAGGGAGGATGGATTGTAGAAGTGACTTCCATTCACTCACGCTCTGAAGTCTGTGTTTTTGGGCCAAGTCTGTCCTTTTATTCTGATACAATTATTTTAATGTAATAATGAAAAAAAGTCCCAAATGACCTTAATCAAAGTAGTTGTTCATTATGGAGTTAATGAGAGCTGTATATTTTAATGTAGCTTATTCCTGTATGAAAAAATTGCTAAAATCCTTATGTGGGAATAAATTGCTTTAAATATATTAGTATTGTTCAAGGAATGGGAAAATGTTGTGAAAAATAGTTTTGTGGGATTTTTTTTGTTGTTGATGTGTTTCCTGTTTGGTTTTTTAAAAAACTTTTCTAGTTTTTAATTTTTTTTTTATTAAATCCTAGTTTTGGATTCAGTTCTTGTGTTTCAAACCATTTGAAGTTTCCTCAGAGCCAGACTAGAGTAGTGAATCTTCAAATTATGTTTTTGAAACATGTCCCTTTCTCTTTTCTGAAAGCTCCCTCTGGATGGCGCTGAACTTTATGATGCTCAATTTGTATTTAAAGGTTTCACTAGGGTAGTAAACTGAAATTATAACTTTATGATGCTCAATTTGTATTTAAAGTTTTCACTAGGGTAGTAAACTGAAATTAGTACCAAATTCTTACCCCCTTTCACCTTCATAATTCTTCAAATTTATGTGGTTTTTGCATTTTTGAAAATGGTTTATTTGCATATGACTTCAGACTTTATTTAGTATGTTCTTTGGTTTGTTCTCTTTAATAAGGAGAGTTGTTCTTTCCTGTGTCACTCACTTCTTTCCAACAACCTGAACCAAGCAGGAGAGGTAGGCAGTGCTGCACCTCACCCTGTTTCCAATATAGTATAACTCGTTCATTCTTTTAAATTGAAATACTGAAGTCAGAAACTGCAATGGATCATTTGCTGGTTCTGATAGGGGATCAGATCTGCATAGAAAAAGCAGTGATGGGTAAAGTTACTGGAGGGAGAGCTTCCTTCTTTGAACAAACCAGTTGACTCTGTTGTGAGTCATCTCAACGTGGTCATTAGCAGGGAGGGGAATGACCAGGGAAATTGTGACTAAAAGACAGAATGATCATTACCTTCTTGTGGGCAGATACTTATTCCAGACATCAGTGGTATCGGAGCAGCTGTAGGAAAACATTACATAGGAAAGTTTGGGAGATAGGCAATATATGTTGCCTATGGTCAAATTTAAAGTAGAGATCAGCTGTGAAATTCCAGAGACAGGGACCACCCAAAAATGTCTATATACATAGCCCATCATTTGGATCTAAACAGTTATTCATAAATTGCAGGCGTTAGTGAAAATTTGTTTAAAAATAATGATTTTATCATCTCTGATCTTTCCAAAAAAGGCTACGTGCAGCAATCATATTCTGGTAAATGGAGTTTTTCATTCTAACAAGTCTTTTGTTTGTATTTCAGGTACTATCATTTTTTCAGGGTTTGTTCACTTTCTATCATCAGGGATATGAACTTGCTAAAGACTTCAATCATTACAAAATGGCCCTGCAGATAAATATACAAAATGTAAGTTGAGATTGATATCTATGCCTTTTCTAATTTTTAAAATAAAATGGCACACTTAAGTTACTGTATATACAGTATCTGTATTGCCAATACTTTCCTCGGTGTTAGTGCATTGCCTGTGAACTTTGGGGATATAGTGCCATCTCCTGGCTAACCAACCACATCGCTGAACAAATCATCGCTAATTCCAGTGAGTTCTTATTTCGTCATTTCTAATACTCCTCTAAAAACAAACACCAGGTAAAAGGCCCCCACTCCTTTTTCCAGTTTTTTATAGAGACATAACACAAGGATTATCATGAAAGAGTTTAAAAATGAATGAAGTCTGTTAAAATACATACAACACTGAAGAATTCAGAGGAGGAATAATGAAATGCCAAGGTTCTCAGTGTTTTAGGTGTGTTTGAAATCAAGTATGTGGTGGTCATGTCTGAGGGTCATTGCTTGATGGGACTACATTATCTGTAACTAAGAAAAAGAAAGAAAAACAGCTGGGCTTATCAGCATTGTTTTTGGCATCTCTGCCAGCAGTGTGACTTGAAGTTTCTGTTTGTCTTGAAGCAGCCCTTTCAGGCAAGACCATCCCCGTTGGTTTGGGGTGCAGAACTGTGTAAGGAGACTTGGTGTTAGCACCCATGGCGTATTTGACAAAACAGTGTGTTCCTTCAAGGGCAGGCTAACCGGGGCCCGGCCCACCACTAGTTAGTGTACCCTCACACCAACACCTCACGCTCAGCATGATCTGCTCAGGACTGGGAGAGTAGCAAGCAAGGTGACAGGCTGAAGCAATGGGACTGACGGAGTCACTCGTCAGATGGTCTGTTTGCTTCCTTGAGATTTGTTGAAGAATAAAACTCGCTCAGAGGAACTTGGATGTGCCAGAGGCCTGTTGGTAGGGAACAAACCAGGTACCTTACTGCAAACAAGCAATTAATGATGGTGCATCTGTTTGTTGACCTCTAAGGGCATCTGGAATTAAGACAGAGAAACTACTTCTTAGAGGTTGCAACCTGTTTTTAGAAATGGCTTAACTAGCAGGCAATAGCAGGGAGACGGAAAGGCGGAAGAGAGGATTACGGTTGCTGTAATACATTGTGACATGATTCATGTGTCATGATACCATTCCTTTAACTTTCTTCCCATACGTTTAAGTCTCAAGTTTCCTTTTGAGCTGTTGCTTGGTTTGGGTAGGGGAACTATGTAGTGGTAACTTCATAAGCAGACTTCCATGGCAGAAATTAGTGCTTCTAGAGCAAATTTCAGGACAGACTTGCTTCTTCTGTGTGCTTAGCTTAACAGAATGAGGAGCAGCACGAGCTGCAGTGGATAGAGCTAATGCAAGACGAGTAAGAAATGAAACGTGAGAGGGAAGCTATGATACAGTTTTGAAGAACTGGATTTCAGATCACAGATGGAAAAGAGCCAGTGAAGTGGTCTGAAGAAGTGATGAGCAATAAGAAAGCAAGCTAATCTCAACAGCTGCATTTTCAATTGACTGAATGGTATTATAGTGTGCCACAGGAAATCCAAAAAAGATTGAGCATTACAGCTCAAGTTTTATGAATAGATAGAAAGAACGATCTGGATTTCAAAAAGCTGTAGAGAGAAAGGAGGCAATGCTTAACAACTGTCTGAGGTAAGAGGAGAATAGAAGGAAGCATCTGAAAAGATCATGAAGAGGACATGACACATTCTCCGCTATATTGAAGATGAATAAAACATCTCAAAGGAAAAATGAACCTGGGCTTGGCTGTGGTACAGCTGAGCTGCTGGCAGAACACTGGATTGACATATTAGAAATTGAAGGGTACAAGATTCAGTACAGAGATCCTAGCTGGATATGGATAGTGATTTGAGAGTTGCCAGCATAGCTGCAGTAATTGCCTTCCTTTTCATTCAGGTTGTCTTTACTTTGAGAATTATGCTGTGGATTTCCTCTCCACACCTTGCCCCAGACCCTGCCTTCCCCTCACTCCCCCCAAAATGAAAGAAAGAAAAAAAAATGAAAACCACAAACCCCCAGCCTTGTAGCCCAAGCTCCAGTAAGCTGATTCTTCCAACAGTCTTATTCTCTTGTAAAAATCCTGCGTCTCCAACTAGATTCCCCCGTGCTCCCAGGACTTTTCTCTTGTTATCTCAGTTCTGTGCCCAAGCCCATACAAGGATCCTTGCAGCCTTGACCACGCTCTTCTTCCCTGCAAGCAAACCTGGCCTTCCCTGGGAAGAGGAGGCATAGCCACGCTGGTGCAGTGGCTGTGGTCGACCCCTGGTTAAGCTCAGCTTTGTCACAGCACAAAGGGAGATAGAAATTTTCTTGAGGTTTTTGGAGCCCATAGTGCTCCATACCACCGTTCCCAGGGTGCATTTCACACACTCGGATTTGTGATCACTGCACAGCTAAGACAAAGATCCTGGTAGGATCATTTAAAGCATCTAACCTCGGAGTGATCAGTGCTCAGACAGGAAGGTTTAGGTATGAGCAGTCTGTCACTATCAATTTTTTTGCCTTTATCCTGAGTACAGAGTATATTTTTTAATGCAGCTCTTCTAGGAAATTATGAAAAGGAGCTTAGAAAATTGTTTGGAGCCTTGGGAATGAGTTTATGTGCAGGGTCTAACTCCAAAATTTGCAAGCAGATGTGACCTGAAATTGAGGTGATGGATATGGGGAGGGTTCAGAGCAGTTGTTCTTAGTCATCACCTAAAGAATATCTTCAGCTTTCCTCTATAAAACATATGGGTACGGGTGGCTGCTCTGACCAGCTTGCATGGACTGTGTGTGTGCCCATGAATAAGCTCCTTCCAAGCATAAAACTGGAATTTGCATGTACAGATGGCCAGTCAGGAGCATAGTGTTAACTGTCTGTCCAAGAATGGATACTTGTGTATATTCGTGATGTATTTGTCAGTGTATGCAACTGTATGCTTGTCCTGGGGAAAAAAATAAAATGGGTGAGGCAGCATTTTCAGCAGCTCATCCATTTTCAGAAAAATAAAGGTGCTCTCAAAAAGCAACAAGACACATAAGCATGCATCTGGAAGTATGTGCTCTCCTCAGAACACATGTACCAACTGGGGAAAATACCAGCTTGGAATTTAAATGTGTATTTTCAGTTTGTGCAATTTGGGCAAGTGGGTATGTGGAGAAAACTAGGTATTACCATGATTGTTTTGGGTTTTGTTATTTGCTCATCGGCCAATTGTCAGTGTTTTTCAGACCAAACTGAAGAGTTTCTTTTGTCAGGTGTGAGCTGCTCTGTTATTTTGTGTAGTCCTATTGTATAATTTGTGAATGGTGTGGCTACTTCCTGATTGTTTTTACTAATATTCTAATAAATATTTCTCTTGCGGCTGCTTGCAAACTTTGGAATGAGTGACATTCAGGAATAATAATCAACCAGACTTGGTGTTTGGGTTCCCCCCCCCCCCCCCCCCCCACCCCCCCTCCCACCT